CTTTCATGTTAACAAATGGAGCAGGTGGCTGTTGATAATCTTCTGATAATTTTTTCCTTAACCCTATAGGATTTGTATAAATATGCATTTGACAATTTTAGCTAATGTGTTAGGGGATTGAAGAGAAATGGGAGGAAAGGAAAAAGGTAGAGGTCAAAATGATGAAGGATGCTAAATGTTCTTTTTTCTTTTTCATACTTTCTATTGTGTTATTTGGCTCTTGTAAACATCTCTGAATTGGAGGTGATTTGCTGACCGGGACGGGGTCAATGGGCGATCAAGAAGACTCATGATCTAAGTTAGCATTCTTCATTGCACTTGGGAGAGGTGATCTACATCAATCATTTTTTTATAGCAAAAAAAACAAATTCATTGATATGTACATATCACTTGTATGTTGGTCCTTCCATTCACAACCAGACGAATGTTGTTTTACCACTTGAACTACAATGATAACCTTCAACATAATTTATCATTTCTCTAACACTTTAACATAATTTATTATCTCTCTAACACACTTTCTTTAATTGATATTATTTGGCTTATGAATAAGAGTATGGAATGTTAGATTGTTCAAACATTTTGTTAATATGCCTACTACTTAAATACTGGTTAGCATGAATGGAGTACATATTGGCTCATTATCAAATTTTTTTTTGATAAAATATCTTTCGACTTCAATATGTTATGTTGCGTTCAATTATATACAATGCTTAATGTTGACTTGTCGTCATAGTATAAGTAAGATTTTTCCACTTGACTATAAAATTTTCCAAAAGTCTTTATCTATAATAATTCTGAACTTAGTCTTGCAACTGTGCTTTATTTTTAATTTCTCCAAGTGATTATTTTGCCTCTCTCATAATTCTATGGTATTGTATAAAAAAATTTATTTCTTCAAGTGACTAAGTTGCCTCTCCCATTTCTTATCCTATGGTCTCGTATAAAAATAAAACAAGATACCATAATTCTATAATATCGTATAAAAATATTTATTTCTCTAAGTGAATATTAAATTTTTATATTCTAAATTTTTAAACAATAAGGAAACATAATATTCAAGATAGAGAAAGATGGATGCCCAAATCTCTCGTGGTGGAGTTAAATCATATATATGGGATGGGATTAGTGGTAATAATAAAGAAGGCTCTCCTAGGCGCATTCAAGTAGTTGAATTAGTTTCTACCTTCAGCACATTTAATAATCTTCTTTTAGTTCTAATCCTGTAAGTCACAATGAAAAGAGTTAAATGCTATTTTGAAGTTCAATTCCTGTAATAATTTATTAATTGATACAATATTTGTACACAATTTAAGAACATCTAACATATTTTTTAGGATAATCATGATATTGCTCTTGCCTGTAATATTGTTAAGGGAATCACTTGCATTAACAATCTTTTTATTATTTAGATAGAGAACATATGTATGAAAATATTTAGAAGTATTGATCATATAATTCGTAACTCCTAAGTAAAATTTAAGAATTTTCAAAGAGTTTATCTGATATATTTAAATTGTATAAAAAGAAAAACATACACAAGTATTTGGTTATACTTGTATCGTGGGCTTCTGAAGATCCTCCAAATAATTTCACAATCATTCAATTTTAGCACTAAAAGTAGTGAGATTGGCAGTGTTTTTGGGTATATTAGCGTCCTTTGCAAAAGGTACACCAAAGATTGTCCCTGTTATCTATTCCCAAGATTGAGTTCTCAAATAAAATCACCTCATTTATCTACTACCAATGGAAATTACCTTATTGAGTGATGACATTTTCTTATTTTTTAAAATTTTGGCTCGTACTTGATCATATTAAGAATTTAATCATGTCAAAAATTGATAAGCACGATCTTTTCTTACAAACTTCTTAAGACAAGCTGTATCTATAATGTAGTCCACAATAATGTTGTGATATTGATCCAATTTCTACCACTAGTTTTTAACAAGTTAGAATACTCATTTATAAACCTATTCCTTTATTTAGAAGATAATATCTTAATTGTCATATCTTAAATTTGTACTATATCTTTGACTTTAGATTAGATTTTATCGATTGCATGCCATACTGCTTTTCCTATAGGCAGAAAAATCACGATCGTGCTTATTTTTAGAGTCATAAAGTTCTATAATCATGTCATGATCATAAAATCTTCTTCATCCCAAAAATTAAATGTATAGTCTCTAGATTTTGGTTCAATACCCAATAGATAGCTAATTTGTGTTTACCCTGAGAATAGTTTGGATTAATTGAGATCAGCTCAAATAATCTTTATTTGTAAAGTGATAAGTTGTTTGAATGATTGAAATTCACTGATGAAATTTTCAACGTAGTTATGTATTTTAGTATTTTGAGATTTTACCTTCAACATTCTTTAGTAATTGTATACTAGTTAAGGTCGAATAAAAAATTTTAGAACATATTTATCCAAAAACATAAGTGGTTACAACTAGATCAAAGAACAATTATTGCAGGTTCACAATTTATTTATATGCAGTTGGCCTGTGCACGATTGGCTATATCGCGGCTCTGTACACTACTGGAGATGAAGGCTAGCTGGTGTTATGTGTTTCTACATAGTTGATGGAGTATAAAGGAGACTATCCAGAGAGGTTCGATGGTGTGGATTTGTATTCACACAGCTGAGAGTGGCGCAAAGGGTGAGCATAATTTGATATGTGAGGTTGCATTTTAATCACACCTCGTCACGACTGCGTATGGTAGTATAGTATGGTGGTCACATTAGGTCGCGATTGCTTCTAAAGCACAATAAAGAAGCTCGTGTGCTAGTGTTACGACCTAATCATAATTGAGTTTAATTGTGATGGAGAAGTTTGCAACACACGTTTGGTCGTGGCCACGTCTAGTTGTGTAATTGAAAGGTTTTAGTACCAACAATAAAGGCTAGATAGGCTACTCATGGTGGTTGGCGACTGGTCTACAGTTGTTGGCTATGAAGACTGGCATAACCTTTTTAGGATCTTTCTTTTTTCATTTTTGACAACGAATGTTGAATAGGGTTTGTAACTGAGGTTAGATTTTTAAAAAAACTAGTGTTTGATAGTATCTCAAGAATAGTTTATGTGTTTTATTTAATATTGCAGACCTTATATATATATATATATATATATAGGCTTTCTAGGATAAAATAAAAATAGACAATTAATTATAATTAATTATAAAATATATTTTACTTTTATACTATTTAACCTAATTTATCATTTCTTTAACAGTGTCAATCCTACCTAGATGACAATTGCATTTGAAACGTCTTTTGGCGAGATCATCTAAACAAGAGAAATAAAAGACAGCAAAAGGTAAAGATGTGGGATATAAATCCTTGTACCTCTCACATAGTAAGTGAGCAATTTAATATATGAGTTAACATCTTTTTCTATTTGATATATGTTTCAACTAGTTTTTTTTATATTGAAAGTAAATTCATCATCCAAACAACAAGAATTAAAGGATATATTAAAAAAAACTTGAAAATGCAAGATATCGGTCCTCAAATTGCTTGTATACTAATCAAGTTCAATTTTAGTTCTTATACTTCTCGCATGGTAAGTATTTTACCACTTAAGCTACCTCCTCTTGCATTTAAGATGCGATTCAATTAAATTCTTAATACCTAACCTAGATTCATCAATCAAACAACTAAAACTTATGTTAGAAAACTTTGAAAATGCAAAATATCAATTGACACACCATTTACATGCTATGTTAATTCTATAACTAAACTATCATTTCTAATATGTTAATCAAATTGGTCGAGTATATAAGTGCATGAAAACTATTATCAAGAAATTAGAATCTTCATTCTATTCACATTACACGTGTGTTCAATATTATCCAAAGAAAAAAAATAAAAAATGCACTTGAAAACTTGAAGATGCAAGGCATTAATCCCCCTACTTGTCATATGCTAAGCGATCACCCTACCATCTTGGCTACATCTCCTTTTATTTTTGAAATGTGTTTCCAATGTTATTAATAAAAAATAGATTCATCATATGATTAGAAAATATTTATTAAAAAAAAAAATAGTAAATTAAAGATGCGAGGTACCGATTCTCGAAATATACGAAATGCACTCAAAAAAATGGAAGATGTAGGGCATCAAGCATGTACATCTTGCATGCTAAAAGAAGGCTCTACCATTTGAGTTACATCATGTTTTTTATTTGATATTATTCAAATGTTATTCTTGCATACTAAGAGAAGGCTATCCATTTGAGTTACGTCATATTTTCTATTTGAAATTCTTCAAATGTTATTATTAGAAAAAATTAGATGCCTCATTTGACTAAAAAGAAATTTTTTTAAAAAAAACAGCAAATTGAAGATCCAAGGTAAGTGTATCAATGCCAATACCTCTTGCAAGCTATAAGCAAGTGTCCAATCATCTAAGCTACATTCCTTTCCTACATTTGAAATACTTTTGCAGTCAATTATTAAAAAGTGAGTTTATCATTGCTATTACAAGATAATATAAAAGTCAAGTTACCGAACATTGGGATGCAGATCATCGATCCCATATCCATCGCAAGTTGAGTTACATCCCTAATGTTGAAGGTGTGCTCAAATGATTAATAATATATTACATAGATTCGCATTTAATCACTTAAATGTGCTTAGCAAATTTTGGAGATTCAAAATGTTGACCCCATACCATTTATTCTACCCTACCATCTGAGTTAAATCTCTTTATAGTTGATATTCTGGTTCCCTTTATGCTGTTAATTCCATATGCCATATTACCCACTAGTTGTCACAAAAACCAATGCTAGTATAATTTAGAGATGTAGGTTATTGATTTCCAGTTCCCACTTCTCTCATATGCTTAGCAAGCACTCCACCAAAGACATCATTTTTAATAAACCATGACCACTTACAATAGCAAAAGCTCACGCACATATATGTTTTAAGTACAAATGAAAAATCTTTTTACATGAAAAACTAAAATGTCTAGGTTGCCAGCAAAATAAAGCTATGCCTCAAAGTTCCAAGAACTTTCAGCACTTAATTTGGGCATGTGAAACTGAAACCCCTGTGACAAATCAAATGCTGCTGAAACCTGGCAAGACAGATGATTACAGGTTAGAACCTCAACCAATCAATAGAATGATAAAAAAGAAAGAACAAGCTCTCACTAGTCAAAATTCTCCAAGAGCTCATTAAAATCTTGTTCAACTAAGCAAGCAACAAACTCTAAAGAAATTCTTTCACTAATAGCATTTTACTTGCAGGAGCTTAATTGGAAAACAGAAAGAAGTTTCACTCCCCTTGTAAAATATTTTCACTCCAATGTCAGAATGAGTGTCGGGTTCACTCCTGTCTCAATTTATTATTGCACGCATATGGTGGTAAAAGCAAAAGTTAACAGGACTAACCTAGCCACTATCTAATTCTTGCTCATATCTAATGTGACCCTGCTTTGCCGTTTATCTGTAATCTCTGTGAGCTTACATATGTATCTCAAATGATCAATGGAAGTCATCAGAAAATTCTTGCAGTACCCTTCATCTTTCATTATATTAGAGCCGTAAACACCCTAACAAGGAAATCTGCCATGGTAGAAAATTTCCCCATCCTCCATGACATCATAGCTTGGAACCCTCGAGCAAGCTGCAGGGGACTATTGGAACTCCAAAAATTTCTTCTGGCTTCACTAAGATCAACTCATCTTGCATGTTTACATAATTTCAGCTTTGAAAACTGTGGTTTTGCTTATTCACTCTTCAAAACATCACAAGATGCATGGCTGAAACTTGAAAACTCTCCACCAGCAAGTTGTGATCCTGATTTCCGAATATGCAATTGAAGAAGAAACATGGTGTTTCTCAAGATAGTAAATCAGGGGCTGAATTTCTATCAACAAGCAGTTAAATCTACAACAGATGAATTAGCACTCGTCAAATCACCAGTTTCAGACGATGATTTTGACCATATATTAAATGGGATTGAACAGGAATCAAGAAGATAGCCACATCAATTCAATCAGCTGTTTCAGACGATGATTTTGACCATACATTAAATGGGATTGATCTCGAATCAAGAAGATAGCGACATCACTTCATATGAGATTCTTTCCATCTCTATTGAGGAGCTTCACAACAAGATCACCTAATACAGCTTCTGAACTGTGAGGAAACACAGGCTTATCACCCAGTGGTTGCTATAAATTACGAAAGTCAGGTAAATAATACCAGCAGCGGTAGGTTCCATCCTCTAGCAATTAATTTATTTGACCAGATTTCCTTTCTGGTCCATCCAATGAACAAAATTTCACCTTTGTTTCTTAGTTATGTAATACAAACAGCTCATCTCCTGAATCTTTCCATCTTACTTTATTGTGAAGGATCTCAATATGCAAGCTGAAAGCTGTGTGGCAGAACTAAACCCAGTCTTATCACTAACTTTTGGAGAGGTCTTATGCTCTTGTGACTACTAGGAACCAAATAAGTTATTGCAATAGGTTAGAACATCCCTCAGTCAGGTTTCACACACTGTCCAAACAAAAGAATTTTGTTATCAATCCCATTATCTAGCATAGAAAAATTTTAATGTAATGCTTGTCAGCGTAATAAAAGTCACAGATTAGTCTTGGTCTAAACTTCAAAACTTTATGCTAATGTTTGAGAACCAGCCCATTATGTCTATAAACAACTTTAGGCACTTGGTCATGTTTGTGGATCAATTCACCTATTATAAATGGCTGTTTCGCCTAAAGGACAAATAAGATGTCTCAACCATCTTTCTGAACTTCCCTAGTGTGACTGAGAATTTTTTTACTGCAGAGTAATCACACTATACACAGTGGATAATTCATCAAAGCACCTACCTCCCCTCCCCCCCACCAACTCCGCAATATAATGGGATTGTCAAGTGAAAGCATAGGCAAGTAGTGTTAACTATGGTTACATTACTCCATTAAGACTCCTTCCACCATCTTTCTAGCCAGAGCTTTTCAGGCCCATACACCTCATAAATAGCATCCCATCTCCCAACCATTCATCTTGATTGTCCATTGCCTCTTTAGTGAACCACAAAATCAGAACGAACTAAAAACATCTGGTTGCCTCTGCTATGCTCGTTTCAACTCATACAATAAACAGAAACTTCAACTAAGATCCAAACCATTTGTCTCTTCAGATATGCCTAAAAACCAAAGGATTTCCTGTGTTTATGATATTTCTTCTGGTCAAACATACACCTTCAGGTTAATGGTCTTCCTTCCCATACCAAAACCACTCCCTGTTAGTACCGCAATGTTGATTCCAAGACCTTCCACAGCTATGAAGTCATATGAGCAGAGAGACATCTAAGATAGCTACTCATATTAAGCCCATAACACTTTATCCCTTGCTGTGGATCCCCCACCCA